GTCGACAGTTATTGTGCTCAAACATTAAATTTCTAAAACGATTAAGGTAACAGAAGATTAATTAGCACTGTCATATACATAGAATGTGACCTTTTTTGCATTTTTATTGCCCAAGTCTACTGCAAACTTGATGGAGTTGCATTTGTCATTCTGATTTATTGGCCAGTAATGTATTGTTGGCAGCAAACTCCTTGTGAAGAAATCATAGTAGTGGGGATTTATGAGCAGAGATACAAATCACAGGGTAGAATGTACTTTTGACTCACTGACCATGCAAGCCCTTCAACATAAATCTTGTATCTGTCTCATTTCAATTCCAAGAAAAAATTGGTCCAACAGAAATGATTAAAGAACAGTTGACAGGGTAGAATATAAGAAAGATTCAGAGAAAAAGACGGTATTCTGAGATTGAATGCATACCTATGAGTGCACTGTGTAGCTAAATCTGAAGTTTTATAACCTTGTCTGCGTTCACGGGCCCATTGATGAAAAGGGCTAATATCACCATATCAAAAATTGCAAATTATGAAATGATGTTTAAATTTTCAGCATTGTGAACCTAAAGTTTGCGGAGTAAGATTTGTCTCCATGGAAACAACTTCTTGCTGAAATGCAGGGTAAGACTGTACAATAGACGCAATATAGTCTGGCCTAAAGTTTGCGAGGTAAGACAAGTCTCCATGGAAACAACTTCTTGCTGAAATGCAGGGTAAGACTGTGTACAACAGACGCAATATAGTCTGGCCTTTCCCTGGACCTTGCACTTAGCGACAGCTTTGTGCACGGGGCAACCCTTTTATTGTAAACCTAGTGCTTGCATCTATCAAGAGGATTCCACAGCACCTAAATGTGAAGAAACTGAAGGATGAGACTTACCATGTCATAAATTCGCGCGTTCCAATCCTGATTGTTAGAGACATTGCACGTCAACAGGTCACGTCTTGATTCGCATAATAATGCATTCCCTTTCCAATTAGCATAAGGCTCCGTTTCTGTCCACTTAATCATCTCATTGCTTTGTTGCAAATATTTTTTCAAGATATCCCATGGCTTTATGTTTAGTTCTGGCCTGCAGTAGTACCATAATAAAGAACCATTTGTAATATACTAACAAAAAATTCTACCTAATATTTCAACATGACATTGGCTTTGAAC